TGCTTTGCTCTTGCTCGTACAGTGCAGCAAGAATCTGAGTTAGACAGCAGCAGCAAGCATATATTGATGGTATATACCGTCTGATATTAGTACCATTGAACAAAACGACAAGAGTTGGATTCCCAGGGCCTGGGGTTGGGAGTAGGTTTAATACCCTTTGCATCACTCCACATCAAGCACATGAGTGATTGCCAAGCGTGGGACTAAAAAAGATCGTTCCTGAGTAGTGGCGGAAGTCAAGTGCCTTGACCAACGATGACGGTAGCATAATTTGAGGATCTTATGCCATGGCCTGGCAGCCGGATATAGAAACAGGGGCCCAGCCCTAGCAATGATGCAACAGGGTAGGGGGCCATGAGCCCGGGGGGGGAGGGGGGGGTCGATTGAGGAGGGAATCCATCAAATCTGAAAAACCCCGGTGGATTAACCGAAAGGAGGAGGAAGCCGGGCCAGGGCAGACTGGACGGCTCCAAGACAATCATGGCCTAGAAAAACGCATGGAAGGATACAAAACGGTCAGCCAAATGGGGAATATATTGTGAAACAAGCTCTTACCACGCAGCTGGAAAGAGGGCATGACGGCGGCCAGAATTCTGGGGGTTGCCACCAGCGCCCGGCCGATCAGATGCAGCCGCGGCACTTGCCTCGCGGCTAAGCTTGGTAACGGCAGCTCGCCGTTATTATCCTCTTACAGGCCAGGTGTGAAGGATCAGTGGGAAAGACTGGCTGAACTGGGACAAATACATCTCTAGCCTCACAGTGACTAGAACTGGCTCGTACAGACTGAAGGGTACCGTGGTGGCCCACAAAGTTAGGCGGCGCGACGGCGTGAGTGCTTGGGAGAACCCCTGCGAGAGCACGATACACCCGCTGTTGACGCGGGATGGTGTGCGGGACAGACGCTCAACCTGTTGTGTGGTAGGGATGATCTGGGTGGCCGATAGGTAACCTGGCGAGTTTCCACCGTTGTGTCCGTAAGAAGCTATAACAGAGCCGGGGTGCCCTATATCAAGGACGAAACGAGATCGTTGCCCTGGTTCGCCATAAGGCAACGGGAAAGACCAGGACTTGTATTAGCTGCCAGATTGCCGAACCAGGGGACAGCAACAAGCCAATGTACCGGGCTAACCCATGGCGAGATCAGGAACCCCAGTTATCGCGTGGCCAGCCAAATGCACCCCACCCCACAGGCCAGGAAACTTTTTTCCCAACAGCTGGCGCTCCCTGGAAAAAAGGCCACTGGGCGTGAAAGAAAGCAATTGTGGGTTATACAAAAGTTGGTGTGTGCCGTATCTTGGGGGGGGGGGGGGGGGGGTGTCAACAGTGCAAAGGCACCCTCCTTACCCACTTTACGTAGTAAGTAGGCTGGAGGGGAAGGGAGCAAACCCGTGGGCTGTCAATGGAGGGAGTGGCATCATGGCATCGTGGCTCGAAGAGGCTTGGTCTCGGGGGCTCCAAGATTGCTTCTCAATGCTGCGGGGGAGGCTCCGTCACTGGCCAAGTTAGCTAGGAGCGTGGACACCGAGAAACGAACAAGAGCATCCCTTGCTTGTAAATGCCCACAAACGCAGGACATGGCGAAGTTGGTCATCCCGCCCATTGTGGGAGTCAACGCCGGCAAGAGAGTGGTAATGACCCCGGAGTGGGCGATGCTTGGCGACCAGGGTCTGCGGAAGAGCGCGACGGCGCGTCAGGCGATGGAGGCGGTGGCCGAGCGCATGAATAAAAAGCGTTTCATTCAAACCTTGTAATTAAAAGCAGTTTTATGCTTCCGCAACACGACGAAATTGATGTCATCTCGGCCTTCTAGAAGCTCCAGGTAACATGCATTCATAGACCTTCTGCCTAGGGCTGATGACGGGAACGCCGCGATCCCGGGTCGAGCGCAGACGTCAGGAGTCTCAACAAGGGCGAGGAATGTGAATGTGGGCATCGATCCCGAGTCTGGGTGTTGCTTTGTTTGGTTGTTGGGGGGAAGCGGAGTTAGGTGAATCTAGAGCTGGAAGTTGAGTCAATCGCTCGGTACGTAGGGAATAGAAAAAGGAAGGACTGAGGTGCCTTCGACGCCAACGACTGCCATGGAGAAGATAAGTCGTCGCGATACAAGGCTCCTTCCGAGACATGTCTCTGATCATCCGCGCAAGACCCACATCAGGTCCCGCTTCGTAGCTCGGGGCCCTTGCAATCAGGGTTCGCAATCGCAGCCATGGAAGGAGCATGGGTCGATCGAAGACGCCATCCATCGACGGGAACGTCTCCGCATCTTCAATTTCGTGGTTGGCGGACCGAGCCGACGCTCAGTTGAGGAAACGAGGACCCGGGATACAATAAGTTTCCTCTTATCGAGTGACTCGTTACAGCAGCTGAGAGTGGGAGAACCGCTGAGCTCACGACAGAGATCTATCCCTTGATTCCCCTGCCTGATCGCAGGGTTTCCTACGCTTCTCCGGAGCTCGGCCGAGCTCCTGATCAACATCGGGTTTGACTCGGCCAGGACGGTCGTGGAGTCCTTTCCCCAGATCGGAGTGGCCGCTGCGCCAAGGCCATTGCAGCGCTCCGAAAGGGGGACAACCCGAACGCGACAGCCCCGGCATCTCATCCTAGGGCCTGTCCTCTTGGGAACGGCCGCTCAAAGCTCCGGAGCTGAAGAGGTTATCCGCCACCCCGGCCCCTGTGACAGACGGCTGGGAAACGACCCATGGATGCTGGTCGTCCATCGATCGATGACGCTATTTCGGCTCTTCACCGATAGCCGCAGCCTTGTTGATACTCGGACACAGAGGTGAAGAGTGTTTATAACTCACGTATATCAATGGGCTGTACCGTCTTTTTCTCTTTCTGAGTAGCTGAAAATGCGGAAAGATGTGGCTTGGGGAATTTACCTGCAAGGGGTGGTGCCTTGGCATGCGCATCAGAAGGCCGATGGCAATGCATGGAAAACAGAATCGAACTTTCGAAGCTTTTACGAAATTTCACAGGCCCCTGCGGACTGACAGCCCCACGAGATGCCCGTCGCGTCATGCATGCTTCGGAGCAGTGCAACGACATTCCACACCAAGCTCACAGTCCTTTCCCCAACTTCCCCCGAACAGGAAACTATCGTGATCTTCAATGCATGAACGCATTGAACGCAATCTCTTGCGAACATTAGAAGCGGACGCTGAATCAGCCCTGACAGGATGCCCACCTCTGGCTCGGTTCCAACCTCGCTGGTTATTCCGGTGTGCGATCGTCCTCGTCCCGCAAGATGCGAGAACATACCCTCGGATGTTTGAGAGTCGCACACATCATGAAAATGTCTTTAGGCAGGGGGGAGTTGGCCGTCACAAGAACCGCTGGGGCACGCGACCTAGGTTCAAAAACTGATCATTAATTTCATCCTCGACTACTATGTATAGACGGAGGTGTTACAGCATGCCTTTTCACTAGAAATACACCTTGCTGTCCCAACTGCTCGTACAAAAACGCCTCCCGCCCCGCCACCCCGGAAGAAAAATGCAACACAAATCCGTCGTTTTCCCTCTTGCATCACAATTGGGACAGCCAACCGGACTCCTGGAGAGCCGATCAAACAATCTGATATTGCACCGCGGCGCTCACGGCTTGGTGCCACCCGCCAACTTCCGTGTATATCATGCCTGGCCGCCTCGGCGTTTCCCGGTTTCCTAGGCCCACTTCTGTCAATCACAGACCTTTACTCTACCCATTAGCGCATCTAGGCAAAATTATCCTGTCTGTCGACCCAGATATCCTCCAATTCGTTGAAGCTGGAGAAGTGAATGGGGCGGTGTTGGTCGCTGTAGAATGGCATGGGAGTGTCCAGCTTCACATGGATAGCCTTCTTCTCCAACCCACCGAATGCGCTGCCCATGAAGCTGTAGTTCCACTTGCCCGAGTCAGGGACTAGGAAGAAGCCCCTGAATTTGTCGCTGAGCAGGACCTGGCGCCTCTCGCCCATCGCCGTCGAAAAACCCTGGGGTTGATCACTGCCGACATCCTTGTTCTCCGCGCCCCATTTGTAGCCTTGAGGGGTGAGAGCCCAGGCGGAAAGCGACACGCTGCCCGGGGTAAACGACACTGCAACCGTAAGCGTGTTTTGTTCGTTCCATGTGGCGTGGGCATCGACTAGTCTGGCATGGCTGGTGACGTCCATCGCAGACATGTACGGGAGTTCATTGCCAGACATGGTGTGGATGATGCCGAGGGGTTCCATGTCTTTCA